TAAATGATGAACATGTAAAACCGTGGAGTGTCCGACTATGAGTTTGGAGACAATTTATGCGATGAGCTGATGATATGACCAAGACAGTATGGTCATATTATAGGAATGGATAAGTAGTTTTTTTTTGTTGTTTGCGGTACAGTATTTAAGGCATTCCGTCCTCACTATTAGATACGGGTGACAAGAGTATTAGTGAGTATATAGTGTATTAATTAGTATTTTGACCGCGATATTTGAGGAGCATAAGATAAGTGGGTGGATGGTTGGGGACTGTAATAGATGAGTAAGTGGTTAGCCTCCGTACTGGCAATCTCCGTCATTTATAAATCACCAATTCGAGGGACGACCTATTGGCAGCTATCACAAATGCTGTAGAGCTGTACTATGTACATTTGGTACATTTGGAGAGGTTAAAAGAGGCTTATGGAGAGAGGTAGATGAAAAGTATGGTCATCTACCGGGCATGCGGTCATTTCGGACATCGCTGCGGCTACACGCCCGAGTTTTGACCGCCCATCAACCGCTATGAAGTAAGGCATACCTAATTATAAATATACAATGATGCTGTGAGTGATGTTTGTTCAGATATTGGTCATTGGCGGAGTTAGGACGTTTTTTTTTATACTTTTCAATTTCGTATGATAATAATAATTGAAGTACGAGATTTGACGAAAGATATGTATGAGTTCGAGTAGTGTAAAAAGATGAATATGGATATATGTTTACCACATATACAACGAGTTGTCTAAATCTACGCATTATTTATAACTTTTAACCTATTTAAAATATACGTACAGAAGCCAACAAGCAAGTCAACAGCAGACTCCTTGGAGATAAAATCTTCTAATTGGCATGGTGCGCTGCGACTTACGGGGTTATACCTGCGTATCGAATATGGGAACAACAAGTGCTAGATGAACTGGATTGAATTGATGTCGCATGTATTATTTATTATTGGTGACGGAGAAATGGTGTAGATATTAAGAAATTAATTTAGAAAAGGAAATCATTAGAGGAATGATTGGAAATTACTTATTACTGAGGCATGGCGAGTAATATCGATACAAATTTCCATGGTCTTGTCCACCATGAGAAGCCAACGGCCAATAGGCGATGAAGAAGTCTCGGGCACATACTCATTATTGAAGACATTATATGTGTCTTTTCGAATTCAGTAGTAAGAGTAGGGCCTCGGGATCGAATTCTCTCAAGAGCCCTCTTTGAGAATAGTTGCCTTTTTAGCGATTTCATCCGTGTGCTCTGTGGATCAAGTCAAGACCCAGATAAAGTTAAAATGGATAAAGATGTGTGTATGGCCCGATGGATATTGTAGTAAGTACATATAAAATATTCCTATAATTTTAATAATTGCATCAAATTGAGCTGTATATTTTTAAAGGAGCAAGCTTAAATTGGAAGATTGATTTTGACACCTCCATATTTATTTGAGCATTTTACGTAATTGTGTCCTCAACTTGATGTCGTCGAGGTCAAGGTTACATCTTGTCATACATTGTCCGTATAGAGAAAAAAGATTATTCTTCTTTGATTTATAATTTATTATTTAAATTTTGATTTTATTAAGTTACCAAAAATTTCTGGCTACCTCATTTGGGCATTAGCTTGTTTGTTTATTTATTTTTTTATTAATAGTGGCGGGTTTACACATTTGATGCCAGTAGGTGATTAAAATTTTGCACCCCTACTAATTTACACAATTCAGTATCCTAGTTCGCAATCATAATAATTACAATGTTTTTGTCAATAAAAGTAACTTTAGGTTTTAAATTTATCGCCTCTAAGGCAGATTGCCTTAGGCTGCAGTCTACGCAACCTGCTGGTAAATCCGTCACTTGATATCAACGTCATGAATTTCACTATTATTGTTAGACAATCTACTTTTTTGGATTATATTTTACTATAATGTTTCAATATTATATCACTTATTTTCATATTTAGTTATTATATAACTAATTTTCATTAATAAGTTAGAGATCATATTTCATGGCATTGATTTAAACTATAAATTTTTATGATTGTGACGAGACCTGTGTGTTTAAATTACTTTTTTATTATTTTTTTTCAAACAGATTAAAATACGTGTAACAAGAATTAGAAGTTATAAACAATATATTTTATACTTGTTTATAAAATTTTATACTTGAGTATTGTAAGATTTTAATATACAATATAATATTAAAAACAACTAAATTATATTTAATTTTGCTATTTGCTAATTTCTGTGACTGGTTTTTCACTGTATTGCCAGCAACCATGGCGATATTTTGAGATAGAAAAAAAAGAACAGGTTACGCAACTATCCGATTATTGAATAATACTAAATGATAGTAATATTAATGATATTTTTTTTTTATAATTATATTGCTAGACATAGCATACAAAAAATATGGTAGTCATTAACAATTATTCACAGATACGAAATATTTCGTTTGGATGTCTTAAATATTACCTTAAATTATACTAAAAAGTGTTTTAATAATGTAACTAAACGAAATATAATTTGACTATATGAATTTGTAGAATAGGTATATAGTTATATTTTATTATTACACTCGTAGACTACGTTATGACTTTACATTTTATATAAGCAAATTCGTACGTTTACTTTTCTTTTAAACTTATACCTTATTTAAGGTTATATGAAAAACTCTAACGATAAATAAAAAAAACTGTTAGAATATTGTTTTATTGAACTGATAAAATAATTGCCTGTGATAAAAAGTAGTATTATATTTTATCCCGAATAAGACCTTCAACCAATCGTCGTGAAAATTGGCACACCTGTAAATGATAAATTGGACAAATAATAAAAGGCTTCTAAATAAGAAGGTAATTAATAAACAAAAATAAATACAAACTTTGATATTTACATATTCCGGGTATTGTCCCTACCAAATTCCTACTTTAGATTGTATCTATAGGTAAATGTGCTGGATCAGGACTCTATTTTGGTTAGACTGTCTTATTTATAATATTACGTAATAATTAAATATTATTCATGTTGGATATTGTAACCGGTATTTAAATATAAATCTTCGTAGAAATAAGAATTCATTAATAAAATTTCAAAGGACACTTTTTATAAAAAAAAAAAATGTTTACGAATAAGTATAAGTTGAATTATTAATGCACATCAATCATCAAATAAAGTTAATCACCAATGAAATTAATTGGAATGTTATTGTGTACATAATATACACTATTTTAGAATGATAAAAGAAATCATGGAATACCTAATAGAAAGTGGTAACAGTCACTTATAGATATGAATAGTATCAAAAATATTACAGAGTACATTCTAACGCCCATGATGGGGTATCACGTGCTGTCATTTTTAAGGACTAAGCTGTAACTTACAATTTCATTGCCATTTGCCTTTAATTGAATAAGAACGGAACAAAATTTTGCAAGCAGTTAATTGGTTGCCGAAACACGAGTAGGATAAAGAAAATTTACAAAATTTCTTTCCCCGTTATAAATGATGTAAGTCTAAATTTGTATTACAATATGTTTTAAAACAGTCAAAATTAAGTTTCTTGCCAGTTTTAACTAATTTTACTTTCTGAACTGGTGGTAGAATCGATTTATCATAAGTCTGTAATAAAATAAAGAAATTTTTATTGATTGATTTAACCATTTCAGGCATTAGTCTTTCTAGACAATCTTTTATGGAACATCTCAATTGATATCGATAATATTGTTGCTAATTTTGTAGTAGACACCAATCTTCAAATAGAAAAGAATATGTGAAACCAGTTAGTAAGAGAACAGAACTTTAATTTATGTGCATTTTTACTGATGTTTGTTTGAATTATTACGCGTCTCTATATTGTAATTACATAATAAAGGCGGGCAAAATAGACAACAACGTTGTTATTATTATTTATTATATAAACATATTTATAAGTACACGTTCAATACAATGTATCTATTATAAAAACTAAGAACTGGTTTAGATTATGTGACATTATTTACACTAATCGAGATATCTTCAGTACCTATATAATTTAATTTTAGGTACAAAGTCATGCTGAAAAGATACTGTTTATGTTATTATTATAAATTTGACCTTTCTATGTGACTTGAGAAAGAAGGCGATTTGTGTTTGCATGGCTGTATTTTGGTTTGAAGAGTGGGATATGGCAGTGAATTTACAGGGTACAGAGACCTAACACTTTAGACCTCAAGAATGGCAACGCATGGGGGGGGGGGGGGGTAAGTAAGTTCTTTTTAAGGTAGTGTTACAATATTTATCTTAATTATTATAGATTAAATGAAAAAATGTTAAGTGCAACTATGACGTATTAAGTGTAAGTCATATGATGACAATTTTAATATGTATAAAGTTTTATTTTAATCTTCACCATTTGAATAAATTTCTTGAAACCATTTCTTACTGTAGTATATTTCTATCTTTTCAGGGCCAGCAATGCATTTAAATTTATTTTGTTTTTTTTTTTTTGTTATAGACTTACAAATTCAATTTAGGTTAAAGAAAATTATATTTTGATATCTCCAATATGTTTTGTTTTTGTAAATTCTTTTGTTTTCTATTAGGAGGAACTATTCATTGCATCTAGCAACATATATAACGGATATTAACTAGTTTTATTTTCTGTCTATTGTTTCGTGTACGTGTTATTTAATTGATAATAATTCTCACGTGGAACAAAGCATGGTGTGAAGATGGCAATTGTCATATTAGCCTGTTTGACCATTAAGTCATTCACATAACATGACACAACTCATAAAAACGTAGATGTATTTTATTGTTGTGTGAAATAATTATGTTGTTTTTAAATAAAATTACATTGTAAACGTGGAACATTGACACGTTTTCATTATTTTATTCAATTTATAAATAAAATGTATTGTTACTTCGTTTATATCTCTTTATTCTGTATTCTTTATTTTAATTGAAATATCTTTGTAATTCTTCAAATTATTATTTTGCAGGTATTTGCTAAAAAAAACAAAAATACAATAATTATATTTATTTTAATTCCATTATAATATAATATTATAAATATAGTCAAATAACAACACTCTTTTACACTCACTGCTAACACTAGAAGGCCATTCACGACAGCATCGAATTTTCAATTTATTGTCATTGAACAGAGACCTTCCTAACCTCCAACTTTATTGGCGAATCGAAGTAGAAAAAAATCTTATTAAGTTCCTTGTAAAACCAAGGAATAACAAATTATCTACGAAGTTCCGGAAACCACAGCGCAGTTCCGAATAATCAGTCGAGTAACACAACTGTCACATTTACAAAATACTGCTACATCTACTACATATATATGACATACGTATATATATGCAAATGATTATGAGTATACACTTCCGATTCTAACTTGTCCTTTTGGTTTTGCTAGTAAATTTGTTGCTCTTTTGAATATACTAATGAATGGTCTGAAAGTTGATGAGACAACAGGCTGGTAGTAAGAGTTGGGTTGCTGGTATTGATATTGGTATTGGTTATTGTATTGGTTGTAGTATTGGTTGTTATATTGATAGTTGTAAGCTTGTGAGTCTCCAGTGCTGCCGGGGATGACATTCGAGATGTAGCTGTTGGTATTTTCTACTCGGTAGTTTGAAGTAACACCATATCCGGCGGCTGTAAAAAAATAAACAATTACATAAATGTCTTTTGTATTCTCATTTCAAATATAACGAATTGTTAATGAACTTGAGGTCGTGATGTGAGAATACAATCAAATCAAAAATAGAAAGTATACTTACAGCAAAGACCAGAATATTTCGGCGAGTCCGTAAGGCCATAGTTGCTGCAGGATGGGTAACCTTTTTCATAGGGATTGACTCCAATAACATTTCCACCAGGTCCATAATTGCACACATATAACCTAGTGTAACCCTTTGAGTTGTCGTAGTAGAAAGTGAATCCGCACCCTACTTTGGATGTCTCGCCCCACACCAACTGCAAGGATATTGTCATATCTTATTAAAGGTAATAAAAGGTATATTTTAAAATTTTGTATACTTATTCAAATAGAATTTAAGAACAACAATATAAGCCACCTGCCCTGTGGTTCTGGCATAGAAAGGACATTTAACGTGGGTGTCCTAAGAGGCGACTAAGGAAATGCAATGGTCGAAGGATTCAATGGCAGCAGTGTCTCTTAAATATCACCAAAGTCTAAGTCTTGCCAATGCGCCTGTCAAGCATAACAGCTATTGGCAAAACCCTCCAATAGGGGTGGCCTATGTTCGGCAGTGGACAGTTAACGGCTAATATGATAATGATGACTATAAAACAAACGAATTAATTTTCTACCTTCGGCATAATTAAAATTATAATGCGAAGGGCCTGGCCTCTTAAAACAGGTGCACATGAACTCTTAGACGCGTGCCATGCTATATGTCATGTCTATAGTGTCATGAAAGCGTTACCATATCCTGGGGTGAGCATGGCCCATTCTGCCTCCCTTAAAATATGCCCATGTTATCCACCAAATAATATGTATTATTCTACTAAATGCAATTAACTAATTTATAATTTACCTGGGAATAATGACCGGTGCCATGACCTCCGCTAATAGGCTTGAAACCGAATATGCGGACTTCATCAAACCAGGCATTGATTTGAGTCATGAAATCAGGTTGAGAGTCAGAAGGGTCACTAGGAGGGCGTGTAGTCCAAGTGGCTGCGAGGTTTTGGCCTACGGGAAAGCGACCAACGTCACGTTGGGAAGCTTGATCATGCGCAGGAGTGCATTGATCAGCCCAACGCTGCGCTGTCGCTGCTAATTCTTCGTCCCACGTCTAGAAAAATAATATAGTAATTAAGAATAATGTTTAGAGGCAAATATTGTCTTATCGTACTTAATTTATTCTGTAAAACTAATTTAATATACCTACTATAGATGTTCAGTTGAACTTTGTATTAAAATTGACGTATACTGTCTATTTATGGCAAATATAATATATCATTGTGAACTCTAGTGTTCGTCAATAATATATATATATAAAAGTAGGAAGTGTAGTATCATGAATGATATTTTCAAATTATTTCATTAATTAGTATATAGTATGTAAAAACCGCTATCAATTTGAATAATATGAAAATTTTCGGCACCAGTATGAATATCAAACGATCGGGAAGATGATAAATCGTCAGTTGTCAAAACAAGTGATCAATTAATCTTATAATTAAGTTTTGAATAGACGATTTTTATAAATATTTATGATACCGCTATTAATAACGTAAACTTCAATAAATACTTATAATTAAATATAGACAAATTGAAGGAAATTATATAAATAATCATACAAGGGCAAGAAATTGTTTCTTGAATTAAAAGATATAATTATGTAAATGTTATTAATAAAATAATTAAAATATATTACATAATAACTAAATTTTTACCATTTCCATCATATTAGCCGCTGGTGGTTGACCGGAGACCTGTCCCAAAGCAACTGATTGTCTGAGACGATTGTGCGCATCCACGATTGCTTGTTTCTCAAATGCCGACAATCCTCCTGATTCTGTAAAGAAAAGTTATAATTTTAGTCTTATCATTATGTTAGACAGCAATACATTGAAACGGAAATAAATTTTTATTAGGTATTTTTCGTGACTCGACTGTGTAATATTATTAATTGAAGTTTAAATATTTGGTTTTCGACGATCAATAAAACGTCTGCCAACAGCAAGTGTCAAGGCAATGATTTCATAAGTTATCGGATTTGTCTGATTTATGATATCGGTACGTAATTTTAGTAATAGTACAGGTGTCTATGTCAATAAAATTTTATGACCTTGCTTCGTACCGGTATGTAAATTTAGTCGTTTTTTGGCAAAACTTGTCCGTAGGATGTAGACTGGGCGGCGGCGATGTAACGGACAAAATGGACATAGGTAGCGCCCCATTTTCAGTAAAGGTGGAAGTTGTTAATTTCACTATAATTTTTTTAGTTCTTGTACCTCGTTTTATTTATATTTTCGTTGATTGTGCAATTATTTTTGTGATGCCTTTTGTATTTTTATGTTGGTTCTGTACTAATTGTGTTGCACTAAAGTTGGTTTCTATGTGATTTATAATTATGTAAGAGATAGCATTAATGACAATTTATATGTAGGTGAATAACATCATAGGTATTTTTTAATAATTGTAGAGTAAATATTATTATTAGATAAAATATTTTAATATGTTTACCATTATTAATTAATACTAATATTTTAAAAAGGAAAAATTTGATTATTTACTTGTAATAAATTCAAAAATTGCTCAATCAATTTGAAAAACTGTTCACCTGTCTTCAACTTTCACCTGTAGACAGCTACATTATCAGCGAGTTATATATTTTTTTCGAAAATTTTATCTATTCGTACGAAGCTGGGTCGAATCACTAGTTTTAAATAAATTGAAATTAAAATAAAGAATAACGATAAAATATACCTAAGAAATATGATGTACAAAAATTAAATATATTTTTATAAAATAGGTAAGTATTTATACAAAATGAATTGTTAATATAAAATTATTCACATTGTTATTAATTTAATCAAAACTCATTTAATGGCATACTTTTGTAATAATACTAAACTTAACAATATAATAAAAACTTACTTATTATTTGTCTTCCAACACCGCACCCCTCTGTTGTTGCTAGAACTATAGCTCCCAAAACGAACAACACTAAGGACATCATCTTGATAAAAGTCAATACACAACACTTTGAAACTGAAAAATTACACGCGTAAGTTGAGATTCGTAACTAGTGAGTTTACTTATTTACGAAACTTCGAACTTTGATTAAGTTTCCTGTGATCCGCAGCACTACGTGCAGCGCGCTCTCCAGGAATTAGCAATCTGTGCGGTTCACAAGAATCGCGCCCGCTTATGTACTCGTCTCGCGTTACCATGGAGACGGAGCGACGCCGCCGTCGACCGCCCGCTGCGTCTGCGCATCATTTCTCGCGTCGCAACCGTATACCACTCTTATGCCCTTATCTTAATTTGTATCACTCGAACGATGTATTGTCATACAATTCATCCATTTCCGATATAATTTATTATTTAATATTATTACCAAACAATGAAATTAATATTTACCTCTAAAGAAAAAAACATTCAGATAATTCATTGATCTTGTAGTCTTGAGTTACAAAATAAAGTAGCGAATACCAGACAGTCGCTTTTTATCTGCAGTAATAATTTAATACTCATTATGCTGTACGCGGTGGTTGTCAATGAAATCCAGTTCTTGTGATGGTGTCCGAAGTTTCGAACTGAGCTTGGAAATATGTTGACAGATATTGGTCGGAAAGGAAGTAGTCTTTAAGTAAAATTATAGGCAGCTCAAAAACAAGGAAAGAATAATATTACCAGTTTTTGTGTCAAAGGTAAAGGATACGGTTAAATAATCGAACTATGCATTTCCTAGTGTTTATATGTAGATGTACACTTTATACTCGTAGATATACGTTGGTCACATTGTAGACCATTGTTAATATTATATTAGATATTCCATACAATTGAATTACAGCGGAGGAATCAACGAAAAACTTTCAGAGTATTATTCGGCCATATTCATTGAGTTTTCAATACTGGTATTCAATTTTCAGATGTTATTGAAATTGCATATCTTTCTGGCGAATTATATGGTGTTAATAATAGTATAAAGTCCACTATTCCATTTTAGATACCTAACTGTGTTGTGTTAGTATGGTATACATAAAAGTATATTGAAATTTGGTCAGAAAGTCGTTTGCGAACTATATTGATCAAAATGCTAGGTGACAACCAGTCTGTTACTAACTGATCCGGTTTACCACCTGAGGTAATTTTTTGATTGTGATATATTATTTGCATATTAATGATTTTTATTTTATTAGCTTTTTTATTTTAGGCGACGGGTTATAATATTTTACTGGAACACATAATTTTTAAATCTTTTATTTGCTATTTGGTTGCTAGAGGGTAATTTAGTAGAACACAATTTTTAGTTTACTAATTAGAGAGACGAGCAGATCATTTTTTAATGATCTGTTTCGGTATAAGAAATTATACTAATTTAATTTAATTGATTAAGTGTTTTATATATATTATTTTTATTTATATTTTATTTTCATAAATTTATAATTTACTAGCTTTTACCCGCGTTTGTGTATGTATTTCTCTATCCCATATATATATGGAGGTATATCAAATTTCATATCAATTGGTAAAGCTGTTTAAGCGCCAAGATACCTCTTGGCTTGTTTGTTACTTCCTTTTCTTCGTTTGTTTGTTACCACAAACAAAACAGACAACTTACATTTATGAAGTTGTTATTTATTTAGTAAGGATGAATATTAATTTACGTGTAATTTTATTTTATTAATGGACTTTCAACTACTTATCTATTAAAACCAATTTCAAACCTTTTTTTTTTTGAAGAATTTGTAAACTTTTATTACGTTTTATTTTTATATTTCATGATAATAATTTAATTTATTATTCAGTGATACTTTACATTTTGTAATTCATCATCATTCATCATTTTAGCCGTTGTCTATCTATTGCTGAACATAGGCCTTCCCCATAGATTGCCATAAGGAACGAAAGCGTTCCTTATGGCAGTTTACCATTGTTTACTTGGCAGGCGGATCGGGAACCGCTATTCGGCTTAAAGTGATGTTTTAAGAGGGACGCTGCTCCTCGTCCCTCGACCAATATGTTCCTTCAGTCGCCTTTTACGATATCCACAGGAAAGGAAGGGGTGGCCTATAATATGATATGCAACTGCACAACAATTTTGTAATTAATACTATTTAATTGTTGTAAATATTTTACTCACTTGTAACTTTTAATAAATTCTTGGATAGACAACCATTGTAATAAGTAATACCATTGTAGTAATAATTCACCTTCTTAATTACTTACACTCATTTTTCTGATAAATATTAGAAATTAGATGTTGTTAGTTTATTTACACGTTGTGTTTAAATAAACTGTACCTTTAGTTTTAAGAGTATAAAAAGTAATTTTAATACTCTTAACGGTTTTATATCGCTATAAACTGACAAAAATTGCTTTTTAACGCGCCCAACAAATAATTCGTGGAACTTTCATTACAACGTAAATTGGCCTTTTAATGATTTTTTGGCCTTTAATATTGCTTCTGATTCACAGGTTGTAAAGATACGTCAATAAAATACATATAGAAATAAATTAGTTGTAAATTATTTGTAAAAATAAACAAAATGAATAAAAAAAGAAAAATTGAAAAAAAAACACACGTTTGTAACCTGTAATGGAATACTCGGAGGCATTTGTTGACTGTTACCGTTATAATGAACGCAATACTGGTCCTGCCTACATATTAGAATCCAAAGTGATAAGGGGCGAGCCTACTGCCGTCGCTTGGATTAAACATTCGAAACTTTCATAACAGGTACTTTTACTGCCATATTTTTATATGATCACTGTTTTAAAACTAAAACTTACAACATCTTTAGTGGATTTAGGTGCTGAAGCAACATATTTAGTTACTTTTTATTTTATTATTGTCTTATAATTAGTTTTTTGTTTCCTTTTTAACCTTTTAAATTGATTCATATAATGACTGTGTTTGTTTTTCCAATTTTAGAACGATTTCGAAGTTTTTTTTAATAGATAGAAAAAGGTATACTCTAATAGTTATAAGTAAAGCGAATTCCACAATTTTGTCAAGTTCGAACTTTTTTGTAAAATCATCTTTAATTACTTACATAATTTTCAAGATACATCTTTGACAGATATATAATCAATGGTACCCTAATATTTGCTGTAGTATCATAAAAGTTGTTAGTTTGATATTTGCGACGTTGAATTTTAATTATCACCAAGCCAACCATTTAGCAATCCTCATACATATCTATGAGCAGTATAAGTTTGTAGAGAGAGACCTTGAGTAATTCTACAAGCAATAATACTGAGGCCATGTTAACGCAAGATCAAGATCAAGATCATCTTGATATTATCTGTGTATTGTTCTCACTGTACGTGTTGTGGTACTTTCGTTGGAGAAATTAGAATCACATAGTACATACAGAGAAAAGAAACGAATATTGTATTTGAGTACCTAACCGCCCATTGAATGGTATGATCGGACTTTCACTTAAATAATCTAAGTAGAAAGTTTTGGAATAACAATAAGATATTTATGGCTTATCCTGTGTGGAATCTGTATTTTCACTTACTGTGGGTATTCCTGAAAACTTTTCGAAAATTATTTATATATTAGGTATATAGAAATGAATAGCCTTAATAAATCAGTCATTGGTGTTCATTCAAAAAGAACGGCTATACAAGTGTTTCTACTTGATTTTGGATGTATCCATGTAGATTCTGCACTCTTCGTGTTTTTTATTATACTCGTATGTAACATAATCGTCATCATATCAGCTGTTAACTGTCCACTGCTGAACATAGGTCTCTCTATTGGGGGTAGATGGGTCACAGTGAAAAATAATATTTTTTAGAACAACAATATATATAATACATGTAGATAGATACAAGACGTGACAACCATTTGAATAGAAACAAAAACCGTATAAAAAAATAATACCAACATATACGAGTATATGTGGCCAGACTTAAATTTACATCATGGCCATAAAAAAGTTTCAATAGTAGATGCTACATAATAATATGATCGTATTGATTATTGTTGCAAAAAGAAATAGAATGTTATAAATGCAACAGTTAGTATCTTTTAAGGTTATTATTTGGTATTAGCAATATCTAGCATCATTTTTGGGGTTTACTTACATAGATAAATAAGTCTTGTTTTGTTATGTTAATGTAGCTAATTGAATGTAATATGGTCAGCTCATATACAAAATTTAATTTAAATCCATTCAAGCGTGATGTTGAATAATTATGGTATTCCTGAATTGTAAATTTTAACCGCGTATTCCTTTTCAAACAATTGTATCAAATGTGAGAATTCTATGAATGTATTATGTACTCTGGGAAAAATGCTGTGCAAAAAAATATTTTTTTTTTTAATTAAAATGTGTGTAGTGAAAATTTGTGTGCATATCCTTAACCTAAATTTACTTGACTAAAATACATCTAAAATGGGATTTCCAGCAATATGTCGCAAGAATTAATATTTCCTAAATCGGAAAATGTATCCATATTATAAATAATCAGGTTTCTTTATTTTCTTAGTAATAACCCATAAAACTGTGATCCCATCTCGAATGTCGGAACCAGTTCGGTTGACCTTTAAATAAATGGCCTTATTATTATACGATTAAACAATCCCGAGACAACTTCTGTAGTCCACCATCTCGTGATAAAAATAATTACACGTGATTTCAATTAAGGAACAATAAATAAATAAACAAATTTGTTACGTGTTATTGTAATAACTATGTCGGTCTGATCAAGGTGTAAGATTAAATATGCCATCATAAATTTTAACTAAATACACCATAGAAACTTTGAAACAAAAACTTATGCCAAGTTACCTAGTTAGCTATTAGGAAAACATTTACAGATTACATTTTTGCATGCATCGTAAATAGTGCACGTATGTGCGTGACGTGTAGTATTTTTTAATCAATAAAATGTAAATATTTATTTTATTGTTATGGATGGGCGATTACCGAAGTTCAACCATTTTATATATACTTTATATATAGTATATATTAATATTGAAGCATTCGATAGTGGCAGACAGACTGTCGGCGAATAAACGAACAGGCCATAAAATAAATAATAAGTTCAAGAAATAAATATATAGACTTACCGTCTTATTCATAAAAATTATCAACCCGTTATAAGCCCTTTATAACAAGGAAGTAATGTGATTATAAAAATCTGCAATAACCGTTCAATAGTGACGTCAGAT